ACATAAGAGGAAACACAAAGGTTGCCACGTATTCCGTATCACTGTGAAAAGAACAGCCGACGAATGTAAAAATCTCTTCCAACTTCAAGATCATTCGCAAATTACAGAGCGGTACCGCTGGGTTTTTTTTGCACGGTGGCTAAAAAGGTAATCTACAGCAGGAATTCTTGGTGTTGAAAAGTTCTGATCTAGCCCGCCAACAGATCAAGACTGAGGTCTTTGTGTCTTGTTGTCCTGTTGATCCAACAGAAATGCTCTACTCTACTAGCAAGCTAGCTAGCCACAGCTACAGGTAGTAGACCGGTAGTGTTTTTGTGTTTTTGGCTGGGGTTTTGATTTGTTGGATGCATCAGTTCGGTGGATCGAATCTGCACTGCTGCAACTATGGATAGTAGAGGTGAATAAGTCCATTGTTGCTCCAGCCCCGTCTTTTCAGCCACTGACGATGGCTGGTTTCGGCCCAATGAATCTTCGGATTTTGGCTGGCTGCCGAGAGGCTCCACCAACACACTTTAGGAGAATTTCTACTCCGGAGCTCCGGATTAAGTTTTAATAATCTAAAACTGGACTCGACTACCAAAGCAGACCAAGATCCAAGAAACAGTGAAGCCTTTTGGCGTACTTCCATGAAAAATTGGCCGGAAAAATTGGCCGGATTTTTGTTTCGTTTTGACACTATGAACAGTCCTGAAAAATTGAACCCTTTTTAAAACAGTTTCGCCGAGCCTTGTGCACAGTTTGGCACAGTTTGGTACCCCAATCAACCCCGTACCCTGTACCATTCGACCAACAAACCACCTGTCTTCGACGAGTTATCCCGGGCCTTGCACGTGCGGGTTTGTCTCGACACTTAAATTGCGGCGACATAATATTCAATCTTGTGCGATCGTACGGGAACTGGAAGCAACCAACAGGCAAATTGCATAGCTATTGCATCAAGTTTGAGTTCTGGCACTTGTGCGGGCTGGGACCAGTACTGAACAGTAGCTACCGAACGCTGGAGAGGAGGCCCCAGAGCTCAGCCATCCAATCCGTGTTGAGTGTTTTCTTCAGAATGATTGAGCCACGTTGAGGGTGCGGTGACGTCGCGTCCGTTGCCTCGCCTCCACCTTTCTGTCGCGGAGGCCCTCCTCCGTGTTGAAGGAAACTAGCTAGTGAAACTTCAAAGGCGAATGAAACGGGAACGTCGACATCCGTCCAGTTTCTATTTTTAAAATAATAAACTGCCGTGGTCAGGTACACCGTACACACGAAAAAGCCTCCATCTGTGGTTTCTTCTCCAAGATTGGGCGCATTCAGAAACAAAATTAGGTTTGGAGGTTCAGGGGATTTGGGTCATAGGGCATATGTAACGAATTTGCAAATGCGAACCGGACCGAAAAAGTGAGCTCTGGAACCTCAAACTTCAACCTTCGAACCATGAGGGCTATCCTCCCTGGGATGGTTCGAAGGTTGTCAAGAATTATTTATGATCATAGTTCTCCTCATAATTACCATGTAGTGAACCGGTGATCACAATTAAAGGACCACAACCTCTGCACCTTACCGAAACCCTGATTCTGAAACCGAAATTTTGGCATGGTTTGGAGTTTGGAGGTCATTCGGCGACGCACCTCTGTTTATGATTCCGAAATGACTGCTTTCCCTCAACCTCCAAACCCAATTTTGTTTCTGAATGCGCCCATTGAGCCACGTTGAGGGTGTGGATACTAGTACGACACGTTGCTCACCTCCACCTTTCTGCTCGCGGAACTCGCTTCTCCAAAGTCAACTTCACATTATTTGAACGGAAACGGGAACGTCGACATCCGTCCAGTTTCTACATACCGTAAAATTGAAAGCCTTCGCAAACCATTAACGTACACTTCCGTTGTCATGTACGTAAAAGCCTGCATCCAAGCATCTGAGCCCACGGCTCCAAAAGAAAAAGCGAATCGAACCGGAAACGTCCCATCCGCCAAGTTTCTAATGGCGGAAGTCATCGCGAACCATTAACTGTACATTGCCGCGGTCAAGTTATTAAATGTGCGAAGTGAAGGCCAAGGTCTCGATGTGTACCGGTAGTGACACTTAATATTTTGAAGAGCGTTCGTTAATGCCCTTCTTGCACTTCTGGCAGAACGCTAGAATCTGAATCCTGACGGAACCCAAAGAAGGTCTTGGTTGGATTCGTCAGATTACGGAATCAAAGGAAACGCAAAGGCTTCCGTGCGGCCCTTCAGAAGGGAAAATTGACTTAGGCGTCACTCTCAGTGGCCACGCCAGTTTGTAGGCTTCTGGAATTGATTCTGGGACCTGTCATTTGCTACCAGTCCCACTCCAGGTACGGAACTACATGGTTGTATGTACAGTACCTACAGGCACTATAATAGTTGCAACACCAGTGTTCGATGGCACATTGTGATCTCGAAATGCAAACCTTGGGATTGTACTCAAGTGAGGATTTATCAATTGCACACGATCGAATTTGGGTTCTTATTAGTGCCTTAAATACCTCCTCTCTGTAGTCACTAGGCCGAATTAAAACAGAATACAATTGTTAAGCCTCCTGTTGAATGAGAGCTACCAGGTACCAGTGTAATAAGAAACCACATCGAATGTCCAACCGATCGGCGCGATCACAGGCGAGAATGTCACTCATCACGCAGGAACCCATACAACAAAGACAACGAGCTACGCACCACTGGTACTGGTACAGAAAGTATTCATACCAGGTAGCTCCACTGGAACACCGGCCAAAACCGGCACCATTGCACCACCTCTTATTAGGCTACCAGTGGTATTAGGAGGCCTCCAACGTGACACTCTCTCTTCTCTGTCGCTCATAAAATAAAGTGGGCAATCTCGAGTTCAAACCAACACACTATCATCTATCATATTATTATTTCCATCATGTCATCTCCGCCTGCAAAGAAATCTGTTTCCTTCGGTAGGACCTCCATTGCCCTGTACGAAGAGGAGGAGTTCCGTCGACCCAAATGGTACACTTCCAGCGAGCTGTTGCTCATTGATCTCTACAACCAGAAAGACTTGGAACGGCATGGCCTGTCCAGAGGATTGGAGCTCGTCCACGATGAATTGTTTGGCCGTCCAATGGTCGAGTATCAGAGGCAACACGCCTATGCCGTGTTAGATCTACAAGACGACCAAGAGGGTATCCGAGATGAAATGGCCTTGAGGTTGGTGTCGTTGGACAGGAGCATGGCATCTCGTCGCCAAGCACTGCTACGTGCCGAACATGACGCTATGGAATTGAAGGAGGAACCGGCGGTAGTGGAAAAACAACGCTGCTACCCTATTGTGGACTACAGCTACAAGTGTCCCAACAACACTCCCATTCCCAGCATCATCACTGTGCACAAACAACAACATGTAGAGGGAGGAATGGCCGCTTAGTGGCATACAGTATGAGCCATTCAAAGTCTGAATGTATGTATTATGTGTGGATTTTAGCAAGCCACCACCAAAGACTCCATTGATCTGATAAACTCACTGTACCGGTACATAGAAAATGCATTTCATACAACACTAATTGCCTGATACAAACCATGGACGGGAATTTTTGAGTAGGGAGGTTATGGACGGAAGCCAGCGAGGGCCAGGCTTAGGCAAAGAAGAGTCCAAATTCAGGACTAGATTCTGTGGGATCAGGGGAGATGACAAGGGGGCCAAACCATCGTTCAACAGTAACAGTTGACATCAGTGTGGATGTCTTGTTAGGAGCAACATGTTGAAGGTAGAAGCTCCAAGCCAATCAGCACTGAACTCAACGCTGTGGTCACATTCGTTTCGTCTACAGTATGGTAGCTAGCTTTTATGGTAACAGAGGTGCGAACACTTGGCCACTACCAGTGGACGGGACAGCCTACACTACAATACTCATAAACCAATCGTCTTTTGTCCAAAGAATACGGGACGACAACTAACTACCACTTGGCCACTTTCTCACCCTTGAGGACTGCAATATTCCGTAGAATGAGCAGTATCTCGGGATCATTTTCATCCTCGGTATGGCCACGTTCAATCATCAAGGCTTGTTGAAAGCACTCGAGCGCCCTTCTCTTGTTCTGGTCATCCTCCGACACCCCCAAGACGGATCCTAACGCCAACAACGACTTGGCCACTTCTGGATGTGTCTCCCCGGCCGTGCTCTGTTTGAGTTCCACCGCCCGCGTCAATTCTTGCTCTGCCAATTCGAGTTGTCGTTGCTGTGCGTGCAAGACCCCCATGGCATGCAACACGACTCCCTCCAATGCCGGGTCTTGGTCTTCGTCGCGAATGGTTTGATAGTACTCTAACGCGCCATCGATTTCATCCATGGACGACAAGACATCCGCAATGTGCAATTGCAGAGCTTGTCGTTTATTCTCCGGGTCCTTGGCGCCCGCAACCACAATTTGGAGCGCCTCTTGATACTTTTCCAATGCGTCTTGGTAGTCTTGCTTCAATCGATACATCATTCCTTGATTGTCGAGGCATTTGACCAAATCCGGATGTGGCTCTTGTGTTGTCGTTGTTATTGCTGTAGTAGTGTGATGATATCGAAAATGATCTTCAGATTGATTCAACAGTTGGAGGCATCCGTCCACGTGTTGTCGATGAAATTCCACTCCGGCCATGGCCACCAGCACATTTCCAATATCCGCGTGAAATTCTTGTCCAGAATGCTCCATGCGATACAATTCCAATGCTTTTTGATACTTGGCGTTTGCCGCCACGGCATCCTCCAACAGCATGTGCAATTTGCCTTGGCGAAAGATACAGGCCGCCAGATCAAGAGAGCTCTGGGCGTACCATTCCAGTTGCTGTTCCACCATGAGCTGATCGTCCCAATACTCGAGTGACTCCAAACAGGTTCGCAAGTGAAGGAGGGAGTCCTGCATGTCCTGGCTGGTTTCGGGTGTAGAGGTATCATCCTGTAGTAGTCCTTGATGGTGCTGTAACGCCAGCTTCAAATCGAGCTCTTCTGGTGACAAATCGTCATCTCGCTGTTTGAGTATCATGGATTGCGACGGGAATTCGGCTTGTTGTTGAATGGATGATTGACCCACCACCACCACCGAGGCAGGATACACAATGTTGCTGTCCACAGTGGTACCAGTGGAGAAGAGCCGGATGCTGGCAGAGGATCTTTGTGGAATAGCAAATCTTGTCGATGCAACATAGGGGCGACCACTAGCACGTCTTGCAAGACATCTCAGTATTAATCTATTAAACGATGACGAGGCAGCGGTGGGTGATGCCATGGTGGATGGATGGATGGATTTGATTCGATTCAATAGTATCTGGCTGCAGGATCCACAGCTCTCGAAGTGTGTTGGCTTTTAGTGGCTGGCGGAAAAAGCTACCACTAAACCTCAACCCTAGTCCAATATATAAGCTGGTAGTGCTGTTACAGAATGCGTGGGGCTTCATCGGCTTCAGATCGATTGATCATTCATCATCCACCATTCACATCTAAGAAACCTTGAAACATTTGTCAAGTCTATCTTGAAAGCAGGAGAGAAGTCATATAGCCAGAGAGGGTTCTAGTAAAGCACGTGTGTCGTAGCTGTATTACAAAAAGTATGTTTCATAGATGTTTGCTTGAGAAAAGCAAGGACGATGCTACGACAGGTTGTTACCAAGGCGTTCACACAGACATCTTCATTCATTATTTTTTTTGTTTTTGAGGCCCAGCCAATTGACTCAACGTGTTGTACTGGGTCCGACTCCTAGTTCATCAGGAGGGCCACCAATATACTACAAATAATGGTGTATAACTAACTCAAGAAGACCCATTGAGAAGAACCCGTGCGTCCGGTTGGATGCATCAAACCAGTCTGTCTAGCTAGCTATCAAACCAAAGTCTCGAACGAGGCCCCCACGATCGAGTCTGTCCTACGCAGCCAGCCAACACGTACTCGTCAAACAAACAAGTAGAGACGAGACTGCGAAACCGGACAGAAGCAAAAGCTGGACCGAAGAGCCGAGCTTGAAATGAGCCGAAACTTTCCATGGCTACCAAGGCCAACCATAACAGTACATACAGTAGGGTTGTCGGCATTTTTCGCACACAAGCACAATCAAGCCAGCCGCAGATTGATAGAATTGTATGAATGAATGAATGATTCGATTCTAAAAAAAAATGGCGCCTGCACACCGACACGTCAGTTTAAAAAAATCAATTCTACAATGTTCACTTTCCTTTTTCTACCTCGCGCTTTGAGAATGTACAGATACATTTGTTGTTGGTTTTGTTTGATTACTATCCCATACTTTGAAACTGTTGATTGGAATGTTGTCCCATGACGAAACCACCGTCATGATAATCCCCATTATTGCCACCAGCTCCAAAGAATGAATTATCCGGTGCATCAAAGAGCAGTGCCGACGATTGGGCATCGTTTCGTTCCGACGCGTACATGGCGGCGTAACCGGAATGCAAATTGTGGGACGGCCGAATTTTTTGCAATAGCCATTGATTGACACCGACCAGACAATGCCCGCAGTGGCGTGCATAATAGGCAATCTGGTATTGGTGTTGAATGCAAAATCCATACAACAACACACCCAATCCTAGGAGGATACACCAGGCAATCATTTTTCCCATCATGCGAAAAAAGGAAAGGCCAGTGGCAGCTGTAGTGGGCGCTGAAGTGGGTGGGGCAGTTTCGTGTGTGGGAGCGGGAGTCTCATTCTTGTGGGAAGGTGCGGGAGTAGGAGCCACGGAAGTAGGAGCTACCGTAGTGGGAGCCGTGGTGTTGAAATCGTCGGGTGTGATCGTGGGAGAGGGTGTGGTAGGATGCTGCGTGCGATTTCCAGGTGGTGGAGTGGGCACCGGAACCACGGGCACAGGAGCTGAGGGAGTGTCATCGTGGAGGGAAGCAGCTGGAACGGGAATGACCACCAGTTGGTCTTCCTCTTCTACTTCTTCCATCAAGACTTCTTCGTCTTGTGTTTCTTGTAACCTTCTACCAACCGACTTGCTAGCCTCTGTGGTGTGGCATGAGAGAGCCAGCAGAAGACAGAGTAGAAGCAGAGAATTCATGGAGAGTCTCATGGGTGCCGTATATTTGAATAAATGAATGAATCCAATGAGTAAGGGGATTGAAGCAGAAGACTGGCTGGGTCAAGGATCTGCTGGTCTATCCTATCCGACTGTTACCTCTTGCTGGGCTCCACTGGTGTCCTTTCGTGGTCCAAGCAAGCTGGGACAGGTCAAAGCCACGAAAAACAAAGAGACAACAAACAGCGAGACATCCACCTGCGAGAGTTCCAGGTTGTGTCTTCTTTGACGTGGGCAAGATGTCGACGTCATCCTGTCGTCATCAGTTGTTAAAGATACAAGTTAGTGCCAGCTTAGTAGATCTCTTGCAACGTCACCTGTCACCATGTGGTCATCAGATGATTAGAGATAGTGCTAGTGACTTGACTACCTAACGTGCGTGACTGCCTGACTCGGAAGCCGAATTCTATTCTGCTTGTTCTTTTTCTCTCTGGCGGCATTGCCAATGACGTTCATTCTCAACGATCAACGAACACGACAGACAGAGCTTTGGAGAACCGAACGGATTGTTGGCTGATGTTGTTGTTGTTGTTGTTGTGGTTGACATAATATTTATTTGCCAAGGACCCAATATACTATATAGAATAAAACAAACCAAGCCAAGATGATGAAGCCAACGACCTCTATTGAGCGTCCGTGGAGGACCCTTTTGACCTTGATACTGAGTGTTGCCTCTTCTACATTAGTCCAAGCCAGCAGCAGTCCACAAAATGACAATGACACGAATGACTCCATGTCGTCATTGATACACCGATATCACAATGACACTTCCTCCAGTGGATTTCCTTTGGATAGCAAGGACCAAAACAAGGCGGCAACCGTTTTCTTGACATTTTCGCTCCTCTTTGGGTTTGCTCTGTTTGGATTGAATTTGCGCCAAAAATCATTTCGACGAATCGAAAATTTGTCAGCCTACCGACGGGGGACGTATGAAGGAGTTTCGCTCTTGGAATTGCCTCCGGGGGATTACAATACCAGTGGAACCGCTACCGATATTAGTCCAGAAAATGATGATGATCAAGGAGAAGAAGATGCCAACAATTTACAGCCACAAGAACAGGAGGAACCAAAAATCTAAGATATTGGATGGATTGATGGTGACAAGATTGGCATCAGTGGAAAAGGGAAGAGAACATGCTACCATCGTCAGACACCACAGCAATCCAATTCACAACACATATATTGCAGAAGAAAAGGCATCCCTTGGAAAGGTGGTCCTCCACAAAACCAACATTCCACTCAAAAATGCCACCAGATTGGCAAACGTCTATTTGGTACTGTATTGTGGTTCCATCTTGCCAGGTTTGCTTTCTGACATGCATGCACTACTATAGCTAGAATAAACAAAACAAAATTGCTATCTATAATGCATATGATTTATGAATTTATCCACTCAAAAAGAGACGTTCCACTTGTTGTGTTTGTTGCTTGAACTCCACCCAACTCTTATTCTGGAACCAAGCTACCGAGCCATTTGTACTTTCTCCTGGAATGGGCTTTTTGGATCAACAAGGAAAATCCACACTAGTCAAATACACACTCAACCATCTAGCTAGCTACCAGTGGATGACGTACTGATCTGGTGCAGTATGCTATGGACCTCTGATCTTGCTACATGTAGCTAGCTGGCTAGCGTAGCTAGCGCTAGCTACGCTAGCTAAGTAGCTAGCGCTAGCGTAGCTAGCTAGCCTTCGAGCAACCGACGATAAAGGAACAGCATTGGATTCTCTCAGATCCCATCACATCACCTCCCACTCAAAGGAACAAAAACCGATCACTGGGCCCTCTGATAAGAAGTTGACTACGCTAGCTTGGCTGGAATAGACCCACCCAGCCAGCATAAATAATACTGTATTGATACTCCCGCCAGCAGTGCGCAAAGTTAGGGGCACATGCCCGATACAAAGCAGCATTGAATCCAGCCACCATTGAATCCTAGCTAGTAGCAAGCTCCCTACACGCCTACAGAATTCTTGTTGCGATTGAATTTGTACCGTTCACGAAAAAAAGAATGATTCAATCAATCTTTGGACTGCCTACAGACAGCCATGAGCATTCAACTTGTTTGTCCTTAGCAGCGTGTTGTGTTTGCTTGGGGCCACCAGCCAATCCAACTTTGAGTGTCTGGTTTCCTGCGTACTATAGCTAGCTAGCCTATACGACCGATCCATCCATCCATTCTGAAAGCAGCTACCTTACGATTCCAGCACGAGGAACGTTTGAGGGGCGATTTGTCAGATGTTACTCATCCTCGTGATGTAGATTGTTCCTTCTATGCAAAGAGTTGATCCAATTTCAGGCGTGTAATAATCCGTTCCAAACGGACACTGCACCCTCGTGAAATCGAGTCTCGGCGCATTGGAATTGGAATGGGTGTTCGTGTGTTGGTTCAAATATCATAGTCAAAGGCTGTCATGGAGGAATTTGGGCTGTTTGCTATTGTGTCATGATTTTCCTTTTGTGGAGGAGGAGAGACTGGATAGAAACGATTCCAATCTGGTTTCCTGATCTTCTGTCAGGGCTCCTTCCTTTAGTCTTCCTAATTGCGCTGCAAACCATCGATGCAGTCTTGTTTTGGGCCCCAAATATTCACTAAAGGCATCCTCTCCTCCTCCTGCACCTGTGGATGTTTCAAATTCTTGTTTTTTTTCTAGGACTTCTTGAAATACTACTTCGGTCCACGGATTGTTTCCCTTGTCCCAAATAAAGCCGAGATCTTCCAGTGCTTGCCATTTGGCGCCATCCAGAGAATGCCGTTTTCGACGTTGGACGCGGACCCACGCATTCAATGCTTCGTCGTGTCGGACGGGGACTTTGCAATGGCCATTTTTCGCTTTGAATTCTTTCAACAAATCAAAACATTCCCACCATGTGCGCGTCTTGCGATGGGCCACAATAACTTTTGTACTAACCACCTTGCGCGATTTCTTCTTGACAACAATTGGTTGTTGTTGTTGTTGTTGTTGTTGTTGTTTTGAGTGTTCGACTTTCACAAAGTCTTCCAATGCCTGTTGCTTGTCCGCACTCAAAAATTGTCGATTCTTCCATTGCTCGGAAAACCACGCCGTCAGCACATCCGAAGGACCCTTTTTCTCTTGGCACGCTTTCAACAATTCCAGATTTTTCCACCAATCATACGAAAGTTGTTCGGTTCGCGGCTTTTTGCTCGTTCTATTTTGCGTAGGAATGCTCCGACGAGTTGCACTGTCTCGTTTTTTGGTGATGCTGTTGTTAGGAATGGGCTCTGCTTCTTCTTGTTGTTCTGCTTCTTCTTGTTGTTGCTCTTCCGAGGCATCATCGAATTGACCGTCGTCCTCCATGGTTCACTTGAAAAACTAGCTAGATCACAGCAAGGAAGCAACAAAAGTCAAGCTACCACAAGCTATACAGTACATGCATTTAATTTTAGTAACACTGCCATCAACAGTCATCAACTAGTACCAACGTCGCTCTACTTTTTTTTTCGGCGGAAGTACATGGCCCAGTTTTGGCGCCAAAAGACCTTTTGATCTTGGAATTGACTTCTTCAGCTCTGCAAGCTCATGGCAAGAACCCCAGCCTTGGTGATCATGGTGGCGGGTTACCACACGCTACGATGGCTAACGGACATGTAAGTGGGAAAGAAATCCACATGAGAAATTTTCATTGCTGGCAAATACCTTTCCTCTTGGCGTGAAAATTGCTTAGGTGGCAAGTCGCGGGTTGGATTTAAGGGACCGTTTGCGCCACTGGCACCAACAGACCACGTTTTGACCTTAGATAAGCGGTACTAGATTATAATTCTTTCTACTTTGTCGTCCGGCTCGGCAACAGCAGCACTCACAACACCACCACCAACCAACCAACCAACCAACCAACCAACCAACCAACACAATGGCGTCCAACCAACGGCATCACCCCTCGCCTTCAACCTCCTCTAGCTCTCTTACATTGCCGTCTTCTTCCGCAAAGAGAGCCTGCTCATCGTCCTCTGCAGCTTCCCGTTCATCGTCATCAAGTGTCGAAACGGGAGCTTGAATGACGATTGGAACCATCACCTTTTTCCTGGCCTTGTCGACCAACGTATTATCTCCGTTTCCAGCAACGATTAGACGCAGCACCTTGTCCCAGCGCTTAAAGATATTGCGGAAGGACCTATATGAGTCATAGCTATCCCATGCCTCCATCACGGTTCTTGCGAGGGCATTGGCGCTTGTCTTCGTCCTGGTGCGATGCAGTTTCTCCACCCAATTTTGAAGACCCATCCAAACACCAAGATCAAGGAGGTTGGTCTCCGGACTTCGTGGAACTTGATGCAGCACCTTGACATTGTATTGTTCGTTCAGCTTTGTGACGTACTCATCAATGCAATCTTTGGTTCCATGCCCACCAGCATTATCCATAACAAGATAGATCTCTTGCTCATTGGGGACCCAATGGTAAGCCTTCCTGATCGCTTCTCCAATTTGCAACATGTTGTCTGCCATGAATTTCGAATCGCATGTGACATCTCTCTCATGTTCGTCTCCTTTCATTCGAACAAACTGCAGATGAATATGCTTGAGCAGAAGGCCACATCTCTCTTTTCCCTTTTCAAATAATCCAATCTTGGCCAACACCTTTTCGTCCTCTTTCATTGTCACCCATTTGCGAGCTCCAGTCATTTGATGGTAGGTAGCATGCCTCAGAACAAGGCGGTCTCGTGTTGGCTGGTCGATATCCCAATGGACTTGAGCTTGGATCTTGTCAAGAAGGGCTCCCACGGTCATGTGACCTTGCTCCTCGTATAAGCTCCTCCACTCCTTGTGGATTTCTTGGTTGATTTGGTAACTGTCAACAATCTGTTTGAAGAATGTACTTTTCTTGGCGAGCACTGTTTCGCTCACCCGTTTCAACATTATCTTTCCATCAAAGTCGTGCTCAAAGTGCGGACATGCCATTACGCCCATAAACATCACCTTTTTCGCGAATCTTCGGCTTGCTTCCCTCCTTGGTGGATAAAGATCCTCCGTACTTGCGTCTTCACCTGGCTGCTGTGGAAGCCTCTTTATCTTTCTCCTCCTGGACTGCATATAAAACCACTTCTCATCAAGGAAAACGTAGTAGGGTGGACCAGGATGTGGCTCTCTGTAATCATCGATTTCCGAATCTGAATCCGAGTCGCTCTGTTCAGCCGCCGCGGCTGCCCCAACAAGGTAATGTGCATCCAGCTCTCGCAGTCGTTCCTGGGCCCACAGCAGTCGCTGTTGCTTCTTTTCCGCTGTAAGGATTGGTCTACTGATGGACTTGATTGCTTTACCATTCTTCTCCTTAAACCAGTTTGAAAGCTGCCATCCACTCACTTTCAGGTGCTTGGTTTCATCGGCCTCTTTTGCTGACAATCGATTCATTGCAAATGCTGTGTCGCGAAAGGATGCTTCAGTTCCGACCTCTTCAGCAGCTTGTGCTTTCCTGAAAACGTTCAGAAGAAATCCTGGATGGAGAGCTTCAAAATGATCGAGGTAAGCACCACCGAAATTTCCTTCTTTGAATGTCAATACATCATGCAATAGAACCTCGCCAGTTTTCACTGATTGATCGAACTTCTTGCACCAAACAGACAGTCGATGACCTTTTGGTGCCTTTGGATATCCTTTGTCATACGCTACCAAACGGCAAGCTGCTTCAGCAATCGAAAGCTTTGTCTTCTGAGGCAGTCTGGGTGTGCTGTATCCCCACGACAGTGCAACACACAATGCCATCCACCTCATGGACTTATCTGGTCGTCTTCTCCGCGTCTCCATTTCAATGGCTCCATCACCGAATCGTGACGGCCTTTTTCCGTCGTGTCTTGTGGCAAAGTTCAGCTGCTTTGCTAGTGTCATCTCTGGTGGTTCTTTCCAGTCCGCTGGACGAATCAGATCCTCTATCATGGATGGACTAAATGGATTGAAGGCTTGTTGTTGATGAAATAATGCCCCCGTCTCACTGTTTTCATCATCTTCGAATGCAGGTTCGAGTTCGGGAAACGACAACTCATCGCTGCTGGAATCCGTTCCATAAGTTGGAGCGAGAATGGCTTCTACTCCCTCTTCCTCCATGGCATTAGCCTGTTGCTCTGCACGTGGTACAACAATGGCAGTGGTGAAAGAAATTCGTCTTCTTGGATTCTCTTGTTGGGGCGTCTCGGTTGTTGCCGACGGAGAGCTTCGCTTGGATGGATTGCCTGGTGATTGGGTGGACGAGTAAGCTGCTGTCCAGCATTCGATTGCTTCTTGCAGTTTGCTCACACGCTTGCTAGTTGCACATCCTTGTTGAATGAAATAGATGGGGCTCCTTTTATGATGGAATCTTTTCACAGTGTTGCCTGCATCCCCCAACACTGGAGCATTGTCGAAGGATACCGTGGGATTTGGTTCGGTGCTTCGTGGTTTGTTGCGAATAACAAACAAGAGGCGTCTATTTACTCCATGCTGGAGAGCAACGTCTCGTGTTGTGAACGTTAGTTTCGAAGTTTTAAATCTTGCATTCAATGCATCGATTGCATTGCTGTTACAAATAGCAACCTCTTGTCTATTGCTTGTTTCATTGGTGATACCCATGGCTAGCAGCATGTGCTTGAAAGTATCGTAGTCGATGTCTAGAACGGTGCAAATAGAGTTGTTGGCGACTGCAATATCCTTGGATGTTGGGAGCACAAACCATCGCCTGTTGTGTAGCCTACGCAAGAGGTCTTCCAAAAGAGAGAACGTTCGATCGGCAACAAGTTGCCGTGGCTCCATGATGATGTTGCCTGCTAGTTACTAGTAGCTACGAGCTAAATCAATCTAGTAGTTGCAATCTTTGATTGGATCAACAGCATTGTCTCTAACTTTTACTGATTTCGGCTGGCTGCATCTAAAGGGGAGATGAGTTACTCAATCGTCTCAAAGGTACGCCTAACAGACTGCTCTGCAAACCTCAAGGCTTCTCCAAAGAGGATGGCCGCATCATCGTAGGGAATACGAAGAGTGATCCGAGTGAAACTTTCGGTTGCTGTTGGTGGCACTGTCACACATAGCCTGAGAGCTCTGGTTCCGTTGACACTCCTCACTCTTTGAGGTCGTTCCATCTCATAAGGTGCATCCACGGGCAAGCAAAAGATAGTAGGGTGAGCCGTGTCATTGGCAGCATACACAACCAAACGAAAGAGGAGGGAGTTGCTGAATCGTTGAAGCCTGACAGTGCCGGAATAATTTTGGATGGTTCCATCCACACCGACAACTTCCAATGCTGCCAGAGTTTCACCCGCTTCTACTCCGTTGAGCGTCGCAACAGTGTTCCAACGTTGCGCCATGATAAAAGAAATGAGCTTTCTGTCGATCGATGGACGACCTGCCGAGCCGACAAGAAGAGGACAATTTGAATTTGAATCGACCTCGGTTTTTTGGGGAAGCCACTCCGCTCGACCAGAACAAGGCATTGATGCACCCGGCCGGGTATCCAAACACTTCATAATCTCGATCATCAAGCAGCAATATGCCAACCATTTACAGCAGCAGTCATACCCATATCACTGTCGGTGGTGCGATGGAAGAGTTCAAGCCGGTGGACTTCAAAGAGTCTGATTTGAAGAAATTGAACAAAGCAATCAACGCTGCTGTCGACCTTGGAAAGACACAGGATGCCAGGATGGAGGCTGTTTTTACCAGTGATGTGCAGTTCTCTGAGGAAGTGTTCAAGAAGATTGTTGACTTTCTCACCAATGAGCACAACGAAGTCAAGGCCTTCGTTGAAGCCTCAACGGATTTGATTATTGTCAAGACCAAAACTAACTTTGTTGTGACTCTCCGCTTCTACAGCATCAAGGCACGTCCTTCTTTCTCTCCTGTTGCTTCAGTTCCCCAAGATGTCCCTTCCTTTGTCGCTCAGGATGAGGCCTTGCTTTCGATGCCTCAGCGCCGATCCAACAACAGCCGACGTGGTCGCAATGGACGCAATCGACGCAACTCCCCACCCCCACGCTCTTCATTCTCACTCTCTGACGATTCCTTCGAAGTGGAACCTGAGTTGTCCCAGCAGATGACGCCTCTTAAGAAGATGGCGATGAAGAAGATCATGATGAAAAACGCTTGAAAGCAGCCGAAACGACGGGTATTTGGTCATTGTGAGAGTTTGTTGCTCCGGAGTTGACTCTTTTCTTCCATTCGGTCGAGTGGCTGCAGAACGCCAGCCTGAATCCAAAACAAAACTAGCTATACAAAAGCTAAAGTAGATTATTTTAGTCTATGATCAAAACTTGAATGAAGCTTCCGGCGTTTTGCATTTGGCCTCCGTTGTAGTTTAGTACCGTACTTAAATCTTGCTGCGTCACCCTGTTGGT